TGGTGGACAGCTGTGAGGAGGGAAAGATCGAAACGGGGACAGGCGCGGCTAAGGAAGGGCGGCGAGCGCGCGAGGTGAGTGAGGGAGGCGGTGGTCGGAAATTCGTGCGCAGGGTGGAGAGTTGATGGTGGTGGCCACGAGCTTTGGAAGGGGTGCTAGCGGCAGTGGTGGACGAACAAAGGAAAAGGGGAAAGCAGGGGCAGCGGAGAAGAAGAAGAAGAAAGAAAGAAAGAAAAGAAAAGAAGAAGAAAGAAAAGAAAGAAAAGAAAAGAAGAAAAAGAAGAAAAGAGAAAAAGGAAATTTTTTTTTTCTTTTCAAAAAATTATTCCAACGTAAATCCTCCAAATTGGAAATTACTTTAAAATTTTTTTTTTCTTAAAATTTCTTTTTAAAAATTTTTTTTTAATTAATTAATTTATATATTTTTTTTTAAGGTTTAAAAAGAAAATAATCTTTTTTTCCTTTTAATGAAAGTAATAATAATAATAATGATAAATATTTTTTTTTTGTTTTGGGTCGTCGAACACCGCGTGGGCACGCCAAAATTGGTCTTCGTCCTCTGATCTCAGGAGACACAATCACCGCGTGGGCACGCCAAGATTTCACTTCCTGGTCACAGTGGAGGAGATATTAGCATTGATACTACCCAACGGAGAAATGACAAAACGAAAGAAATAAACAACTAAAAACAATAAAATCAATATTCGAGTTGCCTCCCAAAAGAGCGCCTTTCTTTAGTGTCTTTGGCTAGACATATCCCATAATTTGCTTAAACCAAGCAAATCGGGTCCTCCAAATGCATCGTCTCCACCCGTTCAACTGGAGCCCCATCATAATATGGTTTGAACCGATGACCATTCACTACAAATTTCTTCTCCGTCCTTAAACTCTGGATCTCCACTGCACCATAATCAAAGACATTAGTTACAACGAATGGACCGATCCAACGAGAACGTAACTTACCCGGAAATAACTTCAATTTCGAGTGGTACAGTAGAACTTTTTGCCCACAGTCAAACATCTTCCTAGAGACCTGTTGGTCATGAAATATCTTATTCTTCTCCTTATAAATCACAGCATTCTCAAAGGCTTCATTGCGAATTTCCTCCAATTCTTGTAGCTGTAACTTCCTTTGAATTCCACCCTCCTCAATATCCATGTTGCATTGTTTGACCGCCCAAAATGCTCTATGCTCGAACTCGACGGGGAGGTGACATGGCTTTCCAAATACCAAACGATAAGGGGACATGTCGATTGGCGTCTTGTACGCCGTTCTCTATGCTCATAAGGCATCTTCAAGTCTCATACTCCAATCCTTCCTATCAGGTCGAACCATCTTCTCCAAAATTGACTTGATCTCTCGATTTGATGCTTCCGCCTGACCGTTTGTCTGAGGATGGTAAGAAGTGGAGACTTTGTGCAAGACACCGTACCTCCTGAAAAGTGCTGCAATCATCTTGTTGCAGAAATGGGTACCCCGATCACTTACAATTGCTCGCGGCATCCCAAAGCGGACAAAAATATTAGATTTGACAAATTCTGCAACCACTTTGGAATTATTAGTACGGGTGGGCTTTGCTTCCACCCATTTCAAAACATAGTCTACGGCAAGCAATATATATAGAAAACCATAAGACGAAGGAAAAGGGCCCATAAAGTTAATACCCCAAACGTCAAAAATCTCAACAAAAATCATTGGGATTTGGGTCATTTGATCCCTACGAGAAATATTACCTACTCGTTGACACTTATCACATGACTTACAAAATGAGTAGGAATCCTTAAAGAGGGTCGGCCAATAGAATCCACTCTCTAGAACCTTACAAGCCGTCCTCTTCGGTCCAAAGTGACCTCCACATGCAAAAGAGTGACAATAAGCTAAAATAGATTGGAATTCATTTCGCTTACATATCTACGAATGATTTGGTCGGCACCACGCTTCCAGAGGTAAGGGTCATCCCAGATGTAAGATTTTGCATCACTCCTTAACTTGTCCCTCTTTGCCTTAGACCATCCTGCAGGAAACTTGTTAGTAACTAGAAAATTAACAATATCTGCATACCAAGACAAGAATAAATTAACAGAAAATAAGTGCTCGCCGGGGAATGTTTCTCTCAGTGGGAGGTCGTCCTCGGTGACTTGTACCCGACTCAGGTGATCTGCTACCAAATTTTCTACCCCTTTTTTATCTCTGATCTCCAGGTCAAACTCTTGTAGCAATAGTATCCACCTTATAAGTCGCGATTTTGCCTCTTTTTTGGTCAACAAATACCGCAAAGCTGCATGATCAGAGAAAATAATAACTTTAGCACCAAGTAAATAGGACCGAAATTTCTCTAAAGCAAAAATTACAGCTAAAAGCTCCTTTTCGGTGGTCGAATAGTTCAACTGAGCTCCGTTTAAGGCTCGAGATGCGTAGTATATAGCATGGGCTGCCTTTCCCACTCTTTGACCCAGCACTGCGCCCACTGCATAATCGCTGGCGTCGCACATGATCTCGAATGGTAGGTTCCAATCAGGTGGTTGGATAATGGGTGAAGAGATCAATAGCTCTTTTAACCTATCAAACGCCTTCTTACATGCTTCATTGAACTCGAAGGGCACCTCTTTTTGCAAAAGTTGGAACAGGGGTGCTCCAATTTTTGAGAAGTCTTTGACAAATCTTCTGTAGAAACCTGCATGACCCAAGAAAAAACGCACTTCCCGCACACTCGCAGGGTAAGGTAAAGTAGATATAACATCTACTTTTGATTTATCAACCTCAATACCCTTAGATGACACTATATGACCCAAAACTATCCCGTGCTCGACCATAAAATAGCACTTTTCCCAATTGAGCACAAGATTAGTTTCTATACACCTAACCAAAATTAATTTCAGGTTATCTAGACAGTTATCGAAACTTTCCCCATACACACTGAAATCATCCATAAAAACCTCAATAATCTTCTCAACATACTCCGAAAAGATACTTACCATGCATCGTTGGAAGGTAGCAGGTGCATTGCATAACCCAAATGGCATCCTCCGGTATGCAAATGTTCCAAACAGGCACGTGAAGGTAGTCTTCTCCTGGTCCTCGGGGGCGATAGCAATCTGGAAATAACCTGAAAATCCATCCAAAAAATAATAGTAAGCTCGACCTGCTAATCGCTCTACCATTTGATCAATGAAAGGAAGGGGAAAATGATCCTTTTTCGTGACGGCATTTAGCTTCCTATAATCTATACACTACCGTCACCCAGTGGGCTTTCGAACTTGTACGAGCTCACCCTCTTGTTTAGACTCCACCGTCACTACTGCCTTCTTCGGGACCACCTGTACCAGACTCACCCAGGGGCTATCTGATATAGCAAAGATTATCCCCACATCCAGCAGTTTCAGGATCTCTTTTTTCACTACCTCCATCATGAGGGGATTCAGTCTCCTTTGAGCCTGCCGAATAGGTTTAGCACCCTCCTCGAGTCGAATCCGATGCATACATACCGCGTGGCTAATTCCTTTGATATCGGCGATGGTCCATCCTATCGCCTGCTTATGGTCCCTCAAAACTCGAATCAATTTGTCTTCTTGGACTTTAGATAAACTCGCGGAGATGATTACCGGGAGTGTCTCCCCCTCACCCAAGTATGCATACTTAAGGTGTTTTGGCAGCGATTTCAACTCCAAAACAGGTGCCTGCACCACAGACAGAAGTAACCTTTTGTGAGGTTCAGGTGTAAAAACAGGTGCGAGACCATACCTTATTTTTGTGGTTGGCAACGTTTGCAACGCTCCAATCACACATTTGAGCTTTTCACTCAACTCTACTCCAGACGCCATCTCTGACTCGAAGTGCCTGGTCAAGGCGACTTCCAACTCATCCCTGCCTTCAATTTCAAAAACTTCTCGTACAGCAGGGTCAATAACATTTATAGAGAAAACAGAGCCAGCATGTGATTCTGAAGGATATTTCATGGATTCGAAAATGTTAAAATGAACAATCTCACCATCAAATTCCATAGATAGGGTGCCCTTATTTACATCAATTTTAGTTCGAGCTGTGCTCAAGAAGGGTCTTCCTAACAGTAAAGGTGATGGGTCGTGAGAGTGTTCATCATCCATGTCAAGCACGTAAAAATCAGTAGGGAAAACCAATTCATTAATTTTCACTAAAACATCCTCAATCAACCCGTCAGGGTATGCATTGGTTCAGTCAGCCAGTTGGATTATTATTTCAGTGTCTTTCAGAGGTCCTAATTTCAGAAAAGCATATATAGATTTCGGCATGACATTAATTGAGGCTTCTAAATCTAACATAGCCTTTCCAACCAAGGTATTGCCTATTCTACAAGGAATAGTAAACATACCTGGGTTCTCGCATTTTGGTGAAAGCTTTCGTTGCAGAATTGCTGACACATTTTCCCCCACTACCACTCTCTCATCTCCCTTCAACCACCTTCGATTGACACACAAGTCCCTCAAAAATTTTACGTATCTGGGTACCTGCTTAATTGCATCTAGAAGGGGAATATTGATCTCCACCTTGCGAAAAATCTCTAGGACCTCTTTCTCCTTGTCCTGCTTCCTTGGTTTCTCCAATCTGCTTGGGAAGGGAGGTGAGTTGGTTCTAACTGGAATGAGTGATTCCGGGATTACCTTTGAATTTTTATTGTCTCCGCCCTCCTCTTCCAGTTCTTTCTCAATTTGATCCCGTCCTTGTCCTTAGGAATCAACGGGTCAGGTCCTTGGACCTCCTTGCCACTTCTCAAGGTCATGGCGCTCACATTCTTCGGGTTCAACTCAGGTTGAGATGGTAGCTTTCCTTGCATTTGGGATTCCAACCGATTGAGCGTGATGGCCATTTGATTTACCTGAGTTTGCAATGATTGCACTTGTTCCCACTGATTTTTCATAGGTTGTAGGTCTGAATCCGTCTTCTGTTGATTCGCAAGTAGTTGCTTCATCATCTCTTCTAGGGACGGACTTGAGTTCGAAGGGGGTGGGGGTGGGCGAGGCTGCTATTGCTGTTGATGCCCTTGCTGTCTATTTGACATGAAATTGGACGACTTGTTCCCCCCATAACTCAGGTTGGGGTGGTCCCTCCAACCAGGATTGTAGGTACTTGAGTACGGGTCATACTGCTTTCTTGGCGCGGGCACATGGCCAGCCATGTTCACCTGCTCTGCATTTTCTTCTTGAACTAGTGGGCACGTCTCTGTAGAATGATCCAAAGCAGCACATACCCCACACACCTTGGCTTGTGAGGCACTTCCCACAGCTAGCTGCCGCACGAAGGATGTCAATTCAGAAATTTGTTATTGGATGGAGGATGTTTCCACCTCATTCACCTTACGTGTTGGGACATCCTCCCTAGTGCCAAACTGCTGCGAATTTTCAGCCATCCCCTCTATCAGTTCCCATGCTGCCCGAGGAGTCTTGTTCACTAACGCCCCTCCACTTGCAGCATTGATTATACTCCTGTCTCTGAAAAGTAGCCCCTCGTAGAAATACTGGATGAGCAGTTGCTCACTTATCTGATGCTGAGGGCATTTGATACACAGTTTCTTAAACCTCTCCCAGTATTCATAGAGGGATTCGCCTGGGTGTTGTTTGATGCCGCATATCTCCTTCCTTAAGCTTGCAGCTCGGGACGCTGGAAAGTACTTGTTCAGAAATTTCTTCTTCAGTTGGTCCCATGTGGTGATACTACCCGGTGGTAGGTAGTACAGCCAGTCCTTCGCGGAGTCCTTCAAAGAGAAGGGGAAGGCCCTCATTTTTATCTGCTCCTCAGTGATTCCCGGGGGCTTCATACTGTTGCATACGACGTCGAACTCCTGCAAGTGCTTATAGGGTTCCTCACCTGGTAGACCATGAAAAGATGGCAAGAGGTGAATTAGGCCAGATTTCAACTCAAAAGATGTGTTATCATTTAAACTTGGAAAAGTAATGCACAAAGGTTGCTGATTTAAATTAGGAGCAGCCAACTCACTTAGTGTTTGTGCATTAGCCATGGTGGTTTCCTCTTGATCCGAGTCGCTTGAAGTGTCACCAAACGAATATGCTGGTTCAGCTTCTGGCTCAAGTCTTTGAGATGCGGTACTGGACTGCTCCTCTCTGAGCTGTCTGGTTTCTTTTCTCATTCTACGTGCGATCTTCTCTACTTCAGGATCGAAAATTAATTCACCTGTACGAGAAGAACGAGGCATAAACTAGAAAAAAAACCAGAAAATTAGAACAAAATTGAAATTGAAAAGAAACAAATAATTGACGTCAGTCCCCGGCAACGGCGCCAAAAATTGATAGGTCGTCGAGCCTGTGCAATAATAATAATAAGAACCTAAATACCACTAAAATTAATCATTAATTAATCCTAGGTACTGGAGCGGGGATTCTAGGTGTACAATGGGTTACTTCATTCACCCTGTTTTCGAAGAATTTGCTTAATCCGATATACCAGAATTAATTAGTTGACAAAAATTACTGAATAGTAGACAGTGGCAAGTAGGGTCGTCTCCTCATGGACTGGGGATATTTGCCTCTCTTAAATTCCAAGTGGTAAGAGGGATTTCACCGGAATGAAACTAAAAATAATTAAACAATTTAACTAAAAATGATTAATTAACTAGCACAAATATAGCAGGAATTAAATCAAGAATAAATAAATTCTAGCCAATGATACAACTACTCAGACACAGTCTATTTATCCGACCATTGATGCAAGAGAGGTTCACTTAATTTATTAATAGACTAGTTATAGTCGCCGATGAACTCTAACGACCAATTTTTCCTTAATTTATTGATAACCAAGGTACGACCATTGATTACCCCTAACTAGAAAATACTCCTAGGTACGACCGTAGGAATTAATTTTCCAATTGCATTAAATACTAGAAAAACCTAGCCCTAATCAATAACGCGCTACGAGGGTTATTTAAATTAGATTACACGTTCCCCTAATGTGTAAACACATCAGTTGCCACTAATATTAATCAATCAAACAATTACGGATTCAATCGACTAAATTGGCACGAGATTAATAAATCACATTGAACATCGGGCCCTTGACATCCAATTAATAAAATAATCCCATGAAAATTCAAGCAGACAACGTGCAAATATTAATAAATTGAGGAACGCGTGAAAACTAATTAGATCTCACAGATTTTCGGGACTGCGCCGTCGAGTTGACCCTTGACTAGATGGAAGGCTTAGCCATGCCGCATAATTAAATCACCACACGAATTAATGGATTGCAAAGGCATTGCGTTTTTTACTAAAAAGCAAGGAATAAAAGATGTTTTTTCCGTTAGAGAATATTGTCGAAAACTTGGCGTGTGTCCGAGGCCAGTCTCAGGAAAGAAAGAAAGAAAACTAAAAACTCAACTAGAGGTCCGTTTTTCTCCTTTCTTCCCTACGTTCTACCCTTAAAAAGCCAAAAGAAGGTTGACTCATGCTCCTCCAATGGTCCCCACGAAGTAGCACAAGCCTGTCGAATTCTTCTTCTTCTTGTTTTGAGCCTCTGTACGTTGTTTCTCTTAAAGGCCAAAAGGCCACTTTCTAATGCTTTCTCCCGTGGGACTTGAGCCAATGAAGTACAAAAGGTGGGCCCTAGCCCAATTGTCTCTTGTTTCCTTTTGCTAGTAGGACCTCTCCGTACCAGTATTCTCCTTATCAGTAAAAGGGTAAGAAATTAGTTTTTGTTCCTTTCTTGTGGGCCGCGTTGATAGAGCTTTTTAGAAATCTCCCCTGTGTGAAGTAATATGCTCTAGAAAGTCCCTCTTTTTAGTAATTTTCTGCTTCACTCCTGAAATTGATTCCAAATACCAAATATAAGTAAATATCAGCAATTAACACAATATTTGTCAGGGATAAAAGAGAAAATTAATAATAAAATTACTAACAAATGATACCCTATCAAAACCGCCTGTTCACGGTTGGATGGCTCCCCAGTTTAGTACCAGAGTCAAGGTTGGATGGTTCAATCAGTCGAATTGGTCGGCTCGATCTGATTTTCAAAACATTGGTTTTGATTGGAATAGTAGGAGACAACGGTACAACAAAAGAAAGATACAAAGAGCGCATAGCAGGTATGCATAAGTTCTGAAGACAGAACAAAGTTAGGTTCTTAGGGGTGGTTGTGGAGCTTAGGAAGCCGGCAATATTAGCAGAGGGTCTACTTTGCAATTAAGATGAGTTGTAGGAGCTTTTCTGAAATTTTCAGGAAGCTGCCCAACTTACCGCATCTGTCATGCTACAAGGACTCAATCAAAAAATATTTTGATAAGCCTGGAGATTTCTTACTCCTCGGGAGGCTAGGGACTTAGGGGGAGGGATAATGAAAATTCATTCGCTTGTTCATTGTTCCGAAGGGTTGCTTCATGCCAAGCTTGAAATGAGAATGATTTCCTTTTCCTTTTTTAACATTATTATATGCAATTAGTATATACTGGTAGTATTCTTGAACTTCAGGAACATGTTCATTCGATAATACTCACACAACAACAACTGAAGAACTTTGTTAAATGGAATAATGATGATCAAATTTGTTAAAAATGGACAAAATTTTTTCCCAAAGAGTAATGAGAAGTGGTTTTCTTCTAATGACTTCTCCGGTTGAAGAACGCATTGTTGGAAATTTTCAAAATATCTTGGCAAGATTCAGCGCCAGATCTAGCTTGACTGAAGCCAAATCTGTGGGTCAGATCAGTTCCTAGAAGGAAGGGAAAATCTCCTTTCAGGGTTTAGCACCGGATGAGAAGCTGTTAAACTAGCTCTACTGAAAGCTGCCAACCAAGGCTGGAGAAACATAGAAGTAGAGCTGGACAACAGCAAACTCAAGGGATACATTATGGACTCAAGACACAGCAACTGGTGGTTGGCAACACTAATAGAGGATATTCAGTCTATTTGTAGCTTGTTTCATTTGTGCTCCTTTTCTTTAACTAATACAAGAAAATTAGATAGTATTAAACTGAGCTTGCATGCTCTTAACATTTAATTAGATGAAGAATGGGTAACCCCCAATCTTAGATGCTAACGCATCATGGATCATCACGGGACAGTTTTCTCTTTTGTTTGGACCCTTGTCCAGATACTATAATGCTTTTGTGATGATATATAAATCTAACGTTTTGACAAAAAAAAGGATTTAGCACCGGATGTGGTTTTATTGAAGCTGGATCCAGTCTAGAGAGTTGTGAAGCTTTTGTCCAAATTGGCCCGACTGTAAATCTGGTCCAAATCACTTGAATCCGGCGTTGGATCCTCAATGACGGTCATATCAGTTCAAAATTATGGTTTGGCACCTTTTTATGATTTAAGTGGTTGTTTACCAACCAAATGGTGCCTTAACTTCTGAGAACTTTTTGATCACCTATGTTACTGGTTTAAACACCGATTGGATAAAACAAATCATTGAAAGGTGATCATTTAACTATAAGTTACCATTATTGATTATCAGCTACCCTATTTATATAAGGTCAAGTAGATGATTGATTTGCTACAGAATATCATTCCTCTACCTCTAAATTTTCTAAAACATGCCCTATTATCCTTGTTGGTTTGTCACATAAGTGCATATTGGAAACGGACAAACTTTATCTTATCCTAGAGGACATTTGTCCTTGCATTGCACAAATAGCGAACAAATATATCCCAAAGAAAAGTGAATTCTTTTCATTCACGATTTGAAACTATTTCTTTCTTGTTCATCTTTGCTATTTTCCTCAAGTTTTCTACCAATAATCTTTAGGCTATATTTTGCCTACATAGTGAAGGCAAGTTCATTGAAAGAATTGGCTGCTGGCCCTGTTTGGAACCTCAGTTTTTTTGCAAGTTACTAGTTTTTTAATAACTTTTGCTACAGAAACCCCAAAAAACTTATCAAAGTTTTTAACCTACACACTTCAAAATATCTAATACACAAAAAACTTTCTCTTTTCTACTTCTTTCTCTCCCACCCCGATCCACCACACCTTCACCGCCGGCCACCACCTCCGCTGCTTCCAGCGCCGGCCTGAACAATTTTTTTTCCTTTCTCCCTCTCCATATCCCCCTCTCCTACCCTCCTCCTCCCCCTTCTGAAAATGCCAACCTGTTCCAAACTTCCCCTCAATTTTAGTTGGGCCACTGGGAGAGGTTTTGAATAGCACTTCTAGCAATGCAGGAGCTTTCAAGAGCTCATCTACTCTGAACCTCATGACAGACGTCTGGGATGATAGCCCTCAGATGGGATGCTCTCCTACTAGGGTGCTGTAGAAGTCAACTTTCGTCTCTCTTTCAAATAGCAGCTCGGGGAATAGCTCAAGAACAGACAACAAGAAAGCTCCTGACGCCGGCGACCCTCTGTGATGTTTTTTCTTTTTTCTTTGTTTTTTCTCTCCCTCCCCCTCTCCCCCTCTCCTCCCCCTCCCCTCCCCGGCCACCCTCCCTCTTTCCACGACCAGATCACAGCCATTTGCGGTACCAGACCGCACCTGCGATCTGGTCACGCGACCAGATTGGGCAAAGGGAGAGGGGGAAGGGGAGGAGAGTAGGAAAGGGAGATGGAGAAGAGGGGGAGAGAAAAAACAAAAAAAAAAAAAGGAAATACCATGGCTGCAAGTTCTCTGGCATCAGGAGGGAGAGGGGAAGGGTGAAGGGGAGTAGAGGGGGAGAGGGGAGCAGAGCAGGAGAGGGAAAGGGAGAAGAGGGGAAGAGAAAAAAAAATTTTGGACCATGGCTGCTGGTTCTTCAATGTCGGAGGCAGAGGTGGCGGGGGAGGGGGAAGGAAGAAGAAGAAGAGAGGAAAGAAAAGAAAAAGGAAAGAAAGAAAAAGAAAGAGAAAAAGAAGAAAAGGAAAAAAAAGTTTTTCATATACCAATAATTTTTTCCAAAAACTTCTACAGTGCACTGCAGTAAAATTTTAGACAAACTTCCAAAAAACTCAGGTTCCAAACGGGGCCATTGTCAGGTTGGAGCAATTTGATGGAGGCAACTTCATACAATGAAAAAAGAGTTCGCTTCCTCTTAA